GAGGAGCAAAAGATCTATGCGATGAAAACGTCGGAGTTAACGCCGACTGGTTTATTGTTGTAAGCAAACTGCTATCACATCTCTGTGCAGCATGTTACAATTTACTGTTTGCAGCTACATGAGTCAGAGCTATTGCTTCTAGTGCAGCCTGCTGCCACAGAGCTAGGAGGGGACAAAGGATGTGTGTTTCCGGGAGGCCACGGGCCGGCCCCGTGGACGCCAGGCTGCAGTGCCCATCACCGCTGTGCCTTGTCTGCAGGCTCCCTGCTGCAGAACACATTGCTCAGGCCAGGGATAGGCACTGCCACGCTTCACACAAAGTGTGGAGAGGGTTAAAAGCTAATGGGAGGGAACTTCAGCAACTCATAAGCTCACTGGGTTAGAATATATAAAAAGTGTGTGTGTGTGCATGTGTATATATATATATATAATATCTATACCAAGTATGTATATATATATATAAAGTAAATACATACATACATACATACATGCATACATACATACATACATACATATATTTGGGACCCCACACTGTGACAGGCAGGGAAAAGGTGTCTCTTTCTGCCACACACTCTTGCAAGTAAGGCCTAAGCCACTTCAGCCTGCCTTTGGGGACAATTCGGGAGGGAGAGAACCACCTCATTACATCCAACAGCTCATTGGGTGCAGTGCATTATATCCCAAGCAACGGGAGACTGACTTTGCAGTCTCTACTTTGCTGGGTTTAATTTGAACTGCCCTGCATCCCTGAGGAGTGTCCTGCCACTAGGCTGCTCAGGCAGCCACTTTTTCTTGCTCTCTCTGGCTGGTTCTGTGTTTAATATAAAATCAAGCAGTATAATTAGGACAGACAGAGGGTAATTTATCTCCGAGTCCCTAGTAGATTGGAGATTAGGATCTTTGCTTTGCATACAAAATACCTGAGTTCAGATGTTTGCCTGAAACCAGGCAGTATCGGGGAGCTAATGCGAAGTCTCCCAGTTTCTTCGTGAAGGTGCCCAGCCGACTTGTTCAATAGACCTTCCACTTCCCGGATCTTTTGGAGAAAGGTCTGATGTGACTACAGAGACTGACTCAGGATGAGGAGTCGTAGCTATGAACCCAGCATCCGGATTTAAGCGCATGAGTACTCCTCGGGGGAGGCTTCCCCCCTCCGCTCTGCGCGGCCTTCGCAGCGGGCGAGTTAGGCCGCTGGCAGCTTTGCTCCTGCTCTCTGGGGCTGTGCTCTCGGGCACAAAACCGGAGCAGCAGGAGGCTGCTCTCGCACTGCCTCACTCAGTTTCTGGATTTTGGAAAACAGGACTTGGGCTCCTAGTTCACTTGAGTACTGCGGAAAATACTAGGTAAAGCTTTCAGAGGGGACAGGGCACTGATTTGTGTTCCAAGTTAAATTGCAAATTCTGGAAAAGGCTCTGAAAATACCAGAAATTCAGAGCAGACAATAAATCCGTGGTTTAATCAAAGGTTTGTGCAGCAGGTTTTTCCAGTAGCCTTCTTCTCTGGAGCTGAAACTGAAGGAGATCCCGTCCTTACTTTTAGACTGCAAAAACACCAACTGTTTAACCTCCTGCCCGAGCCCTGAAATTTGCCTGCCCAGAAGTTCAAACTGGGCGTACACACAGTGGCATTTCTGAGCGGGGTGCTGTTTGGTATTTTTAAAGCATGTAAAGAGTCGGCTACAGGCAAAACTGTATTAAAAGGCTAATTTCATTTACGGGTAACATAGTTGCCAGCCACATGCTACCATTTGTGGGACTCTTTTGTGGGAATAAAGAGTAAAAAAATGGCTTCCTTTCTTGTGTTGCTGTACGTGTTTGCTTGCTCTCCCTGCTCTGGCTACTGTGCAATTTAATTCCCCTCCGTGGAAACTACCACATCAACGTGCTTTCCCATGGCAGAGGATCTCCTGGTAGCCCCCAGTGCCTCTGTGTGTGTGTGTGTGTGTGCGAGCCCGTGGTGGTACACGTATGTGCTAGGGGCCCCTCTGTTTTCTCTCGTCTGCCTGCCCAGGCTCCAAGGAGTGTGTGGAGATATGCGGG